ATGAACTAGACAGACTTAAAACATTATGACAGAGGAAAATACAACACAGGCCGTATCAGAAACACAGATTCTTATGGATGTAACTGAAAGAAGGTTGCTATGCGGTATCCTAAATCAAATGACCTATATCATGCACAGAATTCATAATGATATTGGTGATTTTTGAAAAGACGTGATGGAAAAGATTCGCCATCTAGGAAGGGAGACAAACAATTTAGTGAAAGAAGTAAAAAAACTGGAGAAAAAGCCTCAAGAACCCAAGACTTCACGGACACACCAGACCAAACCTTTAGTGAAAGAAGGAGACAAAAAAGAGAAAAAGGAACACAACAGAGAGATTCCAGGCCCCAGCACTACTCACAAGAGAAAACTATCCCTGACGACTGATAAGGCACAGAAGAAGAAAAAGTAAATTGTTGTATGTATTTTGATTCTGAATAAAATCTGTTATTGTCTGTATTGTGTGTGTTATTGTTATTGTTTTCAGAAAATCCAGTTTGAACTGGCTAGGCTAGGCTTTAGACTGTGAATGAAATCGTGACGTCATAATCACATTCTTAGTCGCTGCCAAATCGTGTAGCAGCGTATAGTAAAAAAACTATATACAGTGTAAACACAGTATTGGGCATAGCCCTATGTAATGAGTTGAACCCCCTAGCCCCTAGGGTTAGGGTTGGGGGGTTAGGGTTAGGGCTGCTGTTGACCCCCCTATCCCCACAGCCCCCCAATCTGCACTCTCTTGACCCACCTATCCCCCCCAGGGCCAAAAGTGCACTCAATTGACCACCCCAACCAGACCGCTTATACTACTTAGTGCCGTTGTAAAGACGAATAATGACCCCCATCGAATAATGACCGGGGGTCATTTTTCAACGACAAAAAATGACCCCCTATCCGAAGAAAAAAATCATTTTTTGCAGAAAAAAAGTCCTGGGGATTATTTTATATGTTAGTCCTATAAAATATTGACCCCCATTGAAAAATGACCCCTTTAAAGTGATACAAAAATTATAACAGGTGCAAGGGAAAAATATGCTGTGTATTATAATTGTTCTTCCTTTGAGTAACTCATGCATTTGTTCGAATAGATTTGATCCTTGTTCTTCTTAGCACGTAGGGGTAATAAAGGTCCTCATTTCTCTCTGTCGAAATATTGACAAATAAGTTTTAAGCAATTAACAATCAATCAATTAATCATTTCTCTGAAAAAGGAGCAAACCTAGAAAATCAAAGATGGTACATGTAAATGGATCAAACGCACGCTGGAGATGAAATTTATGAATATAATTTTTTTTCTTTACTGACTCCATTAATACGTTGTTTCAGAAAAAAAATTGCTGGGAACAGACGAATTAATATCGGTGCGTACAAATAAGTAATTTGTTCGAATTAATAAGGTTTCATTTGGACGAGTGAATAAAATAGAAATGGATGACAGGACGCCTCGATGCTCTATATTTTTCATATGTTCCATCCTATACATGCAGACTATCAAAATATGATTAAAGATATTAAATCTTTGCAAATACATATTCTTTTTATACCCCCCCCCCCCTCGGTAGAACAACCAGACTTGTAATGAACATTTTCAAGTGAGAAATTAAAAATTAAGAGATTCACGTAGTCTTTCAATGCTAAAATTGTGTTTGAAAAGAGATTCTTTAATTGTCAAGTAAATAAAATTCCTTTTCAATATTCCTCCTTTTAATGTTTGCTTAAAGAATGATATTCCACTTGTTTTTAGAAATCAAACCATGCAACAATCAGGTTTAAATACTCTTTAATAGGAAAATATGATTTTTCCTTCATTTCAACTTTTAGCTTGTATAAGTTTGTCAAATCCCATTTGACAATGAAAGAGGAGGAAATTTTTACCCCCCCCCAAAAAAAACATTACGTTAAATCAAAAAAAAGAAAAGCAAATATAAATAAAACTCTATACCTTTCAACAATACTGAATGAGGCTCTTGATAAAATATTGAAATGAGGTTAAGCCATCACACAAGTGCTATCATATCATAATTTACTCCGCCATAATTAAAGCAAATACTTTAAGTGTTGGTGGGGGTATACTTGAAAGTATTGTGGCAATAACAGTTGAAAATTAGTAGAAATAGATTTTTTTAAGCTTATTTTTAGTCCCTCCTTATAGAAAAATAAAGGTAGGGTAGTTTTTTGTTGTTGCTGTTGTTGATTATCGACTTCCTCCTAAATACGTAAGGGGGTGGGGTGGGCATAACACCTAGAAATATACTCTGTAAAGCTATGGGCTAGTGTAAAATACACATTCCAATGCAAAAACTATACATGTAGATATAATCTTTTGATATAGCACACAGTATTCATTACATTTCTTCATTTCTTGTTTTACTCCACCCTTTTACTCAGTTCTAAAATTAATATATTTTTCAGAGAATTTAATATGAAAATCAAAACAAACACTTTCATTTTTGTAACATCTTTTTATACTGTATCATAATATGAAAAGTTAATTGAAGATCATTTCTTTTTATGTTCCCGTACGCGTAATCGGAAATTGGGGGTATATAATTTTATCGTGTCCGTCTGTATGTCTGTCTTTTTCTATCTGGCAGTTGTTTTCCGCAAAAACTTTAACCTTGACCATAACTTTTCATTTATTGGAGCTATGACTTTCATATTTTATATGTGTATTCCTTGTGACAAGACCTATTTTGGGTACCACCAAATTTGACCTTTTGACCGGCTCAACTAGGATATATGAATAAGTAGTCCCTGTAAAAATATTTTATACGACAAATTTGAATTAATGCTCCTTGCTTTATAATCGGATTCCTTATTTTATATGTGTATTCCTTGTGTCAAGACCTACGTTGGTTACCACCAAATTTGACCTTTTGACCTTTACCTTGGAGTTTGTCCTATTTTACACAAAAATGCCAAATTTTTACGTTGGCCATAACTTTTAAACGGTAGATACTAGTTCTCTCATACTTCTCATATGAATTTTTTTGGCATGACCTTTCATTGGATACTAAAAACTTTTACCTTTTGACCTTGACCTTGGAGATTTTCGTAATTATGAAAAAACTTTTTTTAACCTTGGCCATAACTTTTGAACGGTAAGGGCTAGGATTTTCATACTTCACATATGTAATCCTTGTTCCATTAAACCTTTCTTAAGAAACAATCAACTTTGACCCTTTGGTCTTTGAGTTTGACCTACCTTTCAAAAACCTGTCCTTAGCCATTATTTTTGAACAAGTGGTGCTAGGGCTTTCCTATTTTGAAACTGTATTTGAAGACCCTACTTTGGGTACCAATTTATTTAAATTGCATTTAAGAACAGTTTAATCGTCGCTATGTTGCCATACAGGGGCATAGCTGTTTCACAAACACATCTTTTTATATATAAGAGGAGTTGCGGATAAGAAATGGATACCCCAAAGCGTAACAGACGGACATCCCGATCACTATATACCCTCCCGCTTTTCAAGAGGAGGATATAATAATATATAATACTACTGATTTTTTATGTCAGTACGATGATTTTCACTATCGAAAAACAATGTTTACCCAACACTTTAGGCTCGATAAATCTTTTACTCCTTTAGATTCTGAATCATCGCATTGACCTTAAAATATAGCTATAATTGTATAATGTTATGAGATCAACATATCATCAATTTATTCCCAATTAGCTCAGGTGAGCATTTTGGCCAATATGCTTCTTTATCTAATTTTTTTTTTGCCCCTAAAAAATTAAGCTTTAATCCACAAGGAGTTATTTTTCTACACTGGTCATTTTTCTTCTCGTGGGTTCTGCAAATTTTTAGGGAAGTAACATTTTTTCTACGGGAAAAAGAGTCAGTTTTACGTCCAAAAGCCGGGGGTCATTTTTCGCCGTAAAATTTGACGGGGGGTCATTTTTCGCTGTCGAAAATTGACCGTCGGTCATTATTCGAGGGGGGTCATTATTCGTTTTACACCGTACATCTGTCCTTTGGGATAAGGTTGGGACCAGTATCTCCTTAAACCCCCCCTTACATATTGTCTCAGCACCCCCTCTGGTAGCTTAGATCCACTCCCCGTGATCTGTCAAAATTATATTCAATTATTAAACATGTCATTTTATTTTATTTGAAAAATAATAAATTTGATGCTCTTGATTGGCCAAAATACATGTACTTGAATTAGGAATAAAATGCAAGTTTCAGTGTCTCACTAATGATTTCACATAAACCTTAAGTTTTAAAAAAGATAAATAGTGCCACAAAGACTTAGCATATTTGATTCAGGAATGGCTTCATGCATTTTTATTTGAAAAACAAATATACATGAAATTTAATCCTTGTCAAAACCTATAAGCTTCTAGTTTCAATGCTTTCTTTGCATTAATGTTAATGTACGTTGCAGCATTCACCTGTGTGTTTACATTTCATTGCATATCTTGGTGTCATATTGAAAAAATTTAAAGTCCAACTAAAATTCAATTTTTGGGGTTTTAATATGCAGGGTAAAAACTAGGTCATTTTGGTAGGCAACACTCAAAAACATGGACCCAGTAAACCAAAATTTCCACTGGGTTCCCCTCAGGAGAAATGAATGTGTGACCCCATGTTTTCCTTTGATTTTTTGTGAGGACTGTGCTGAATTTTTTGTGGTAATTGTGCGAAATCAAATCATGAGATCATAACTGGAAAACTCTAACCACTGCAGCTACCCAAAGGAGAAGAGGTATGCTTAAAATTTTTGAGGAAGATCAAGGAAGAGGATTTGCCTGGGATTGATGAGAAGAATGAGAAGGTGAAAAAACAGATCACAGAAAATAAAGCGCTTTTATGGGGAAAAAAAACTACAGAAGCATGTTGATGAGATAATGGCCAGGTTGACAGAAATCAAAAAGTGCCATGAGAAAAAATTTTAAACAATTATTAAAAAAATAGCAATAACCCCGTGAAATTGAGTTAAGAAGAAGAAAGAGGAATTGTTGCAATGGAATTATAGAAGAAAAACAACCCATGTCAGATTACAGCTTGATTGACAACCACATAGAACTGACAAAAATGTTTTCTGAATTGGAGGTTCACATGAAAAACTGTGAACATTCAGTGAGGTTCACTAGAGGTGAAATAAATGACAATTTGCTCAGTCTATGATTGGAAAACTTAGTTTAATGATGCAGTTTTAATGCAAAAAAACTCATTTCAACATGGAGAAAACGTAATATATTCCATGGGGACATTAGAGAAAACAATGTTACATACATGCATATCAATCAAAAAATATAGAAAAAGTAATCAGCAAGGCACAAAAGAACTAAAATTAAATTTATTTTGGAGACATGTGTGTGACTGATAATGGTGTGTTTATTTCACTGATCCCAGTAACAATACCATCAGCTGTCTGTACCCTCAAAATTTTTTCATGTAATACAGATGATAGGACTGGTACCAATAGGAATCTGTATGTCAGTGGACGGTGGACTACTGGTTTCCTTGGCAGACGAAGAATCAGATTCCTACGAATTACAGTCACAGAGCAGACGTCTGGTGAGACACATCACAGTGACACGTGACATCATCCATGAGTATGAGTACCAGGAGGACGGTCAGACCAAACTTTTTACATTGCCATTCAAAGTCACACAGAACAGTAACAGTGATATCTGTGTTGTGAACCGTACACGTCCCGCTAAAGGTGAACTAGTGATTATGTCTCCCGCTGGTCGTATGAAGTCTGTCTACCGTGGACAGAACCTGACATTGAACTTTTGTCCAACTGATTTAGTGTGCGACTCCCTCTGTAACATCCTTGTTACTGACCTCAACAATAAACGGATTCATCTGCTGAGTGCTGAAGGGGAGTTCTTGAAGTTCTTACTGACAGAGAATGAAGTGAACCAACCATTCTCACTGTCCTTGCACAAGTCTACACTCTGGGTGGGATACCATACAGGACTTGTCAAGGTGTTTCAATACAAAGTGTAAAATATCAATACATGTTACATGAATCATGATTTTGAAATTCTAGTTTCAGAGTCCGACACTTCTATTTTATACTTGGATATTTTACTTGAAAAAGACACTAATGGTAATCTAACAACCAAGCTATATGATAAACGTGATGATTTTAACTTTTCTATCGTTAACTTCCATTTCGTATGCAGCAATATACCTTCATCACCTTCATACGGAGTATATATATCTCAGTTGATTCGATACGCAAGAGCATGCTCTTTAGTATGAACGATTTCTAAAACGAGGTAAATTATTGACAAGCAATTTGATGAAACAAGAATATCATCAATCTCTCGTTTAAAGTCATCATTTCGTACGTTCTTCTGGTCGATACAATGACCTTGTCAGCAAATACAATTTATCATTGAGTCAAATGCTGACTGATGTTTTTCATACCAATGGTTAGTCCATTATTTATACACTGAATTGACGACGGATTTTTTGCCATTTCCCGATCATTATAAGGAGCACACGGCGGGTGTGACCGGTCGGCAGGGGATTCTCACTCCTCCATGGCACTGATCCGACCTCTGATGTTTCGGGGGTCCGTGTTTGCTCTGCTATTTTGTATTGTTTTATGGACTTTGAGATTGAATTCTGTTCGTTATCTCCATATCTCCTTCTTACATGAGAATAACAGTTTTCTGATAGGTATTCTCCCAACTGTTTTGTTTATATGTATGTTGTGTAATGTCCCTCTCGATAATTTTTTCACTCATATAGAGAAACCACCACTTGACGGTGAAGAGATGGAAATTTTGTCCCATACTCGGCAGCATTTACGGCCATTAAGCAGTGTGGGACCTTTTCGTGCCAGCACCTACCTCCACACGGGACCTCGGTTTATATGGTCTCATCGGAAGGACCGGTCTCCACTTCCCAAAGCGGGATTTGAACCCGCGACATAAAGATTAAACTCGTTACTCTGCGACTCTAGAGCAGACACTCTAATCCATGTGCTACGCAGGCTTATCAAACTGTAGTTTGATGCATGTAAACAGAGTGTCTTCTTATTTCCTTTTCAATCAAACATATTCACATCACCAGAACTACCAACCATTCTTAACCCAGGAAGACATTCAAGTGGGATGGGGATATATCACCAAATATTTTTGGGGGCACTACCAAAAATAAATTCCTTGAAAAACAAAAATGATATTTGAGGCAAAAAAAACCACCCTTCAATCCCTACAAATTTTTCTTTTTGTATTTTATCCTCAATACCTTTCGAACTCTCTAGGTGCATAGAAACATTTTCCTTGGTCCCCTTAGCTTGAGTTTGAGATATAGTGTTACAGATTCATTTAGGTCATGATATTATTCTTCTGATAAATGTTATGTTTTTTTTAAATCTTATTTGTTATACAAATAAAAAAAAAAAGTCATCTATTTGTATTTTGATTTTGTGTACTTTTGTTTTTTTCCTTTTGTCATTTGAACGCCAGTTGTCTAGATACATGTACAAGACATATTTCACAGGTCCAAACTTTTGTTATGTAAACAAGGCTAGTGTCATGCTTTTGTTTAAACAGGTTGATATACTAACATTTACATTTTCAAATATTTTCCTTAAGATTCTTTGCAAATTAGAGTATTGTACATTTTTAATGATACAATGGATGAGCACGAATATCTGCCACTGTTGCGTCATAATACCGTAATTGACGTCAAACTATATAGTGCAATCTGAGGCTTGTTTCAGCAAGAGCGAGCGTTCGCGAGCGCTCGCCAAAATTCCTTATACCTCCAATAGTAATTTTTGCGAGCGCTCGCGAACGCTTGCTCTGCTGAACAGGCCTCTGTTTTGCTTTAAAAATGGCAGTTTAATGGCGTAACTTGTGGCAACTTGTCAGAAAAATAATGTCAATATATGAAATGAATATAATTTTTGAAAATTCATGAGGGATGTGAGCTACAACGCTTCACGCCGGTGTAGACAAATAATGACCCCCACCCGTAGAAAAAAATCATTTTTTGTAGAAAAAGGGTCCTAGGGGGGTCATTATTTTATATGTTAGTCCTATAAAATAATGACCCCCATTGAAAAATGACCCCCTTTAAAGTGATACAAAATATACACTCTTTGATATCTTTTTTCACAGTGAAACTAATTTCTACATTTTCTGTAACCAGAAAAATACAAAAAGTCGTATGAAATAATTAAGACTCACGTAGTCTTTCAATGCTAAAATTGTGTTTGAAAAGAGATTGTTTAATTGTCAAGTAAATAAAATTCTTTTTAATATTCCTCCTTATAATGTTTGCTTAAAGAATGATATTCCACTTGTTTTTAGAAATCAAACCATGAAAATCAGGTTTAAGTACTCTTTAATAGGAAAAATTAAATTTTCCGTCATTTCAACTTTTAGTTTTTTAAGTTTGGCAAATCCTATTTGACAATGAAAGAGGAGGAAATTTTTTATCCCCCCCCCCAAAAAAAGAACATTACGTTAATTCAAAAAAATAAATAAATAAATAATAAATGAAAAGCAAAAATATAAATAAAACTCTATACCTTTCAATAATTCTGAAAGAGGCTCTAGATAAAATATTGAAATGAAGTTAAGCCTTCACACAAGTACTATCATATCATAATTTACTTCGCCATGATTAAAGCATACTTTAAATGTTGGTGGAGGTATACTTGATAGTATTGTGGCAAAGTAACGGTTAAAAATTAGTAGAATAGTAGATTACTTTAAGCTTATTTTTAATTCCTTCTTATAGAAAAATAAAGGTAGGGTGTTTTTTTTTTTTTTTTTTTTTTTTTTTTGCTTTTGTTCAATATCGACTTCCTCCTAAATAAGAAAGGGGGTTGGGGTAAGTATAAGACCTAAAAATATGCTCTGTAAAGCTATGGGCTAGTGTAAAATACACAGTCATTCTGATGCAAAAACTATACATGTAGACATAAACTTTTGATTTAGCACACAGTATTCATTACATTTCTTTTAACGTAGAGCCTACTTCTATGAACATCATAGCTGGTAAATGTGTTTAACCTGTGCTAGATCCATTATGACGTCATAATTAATTCAATGCCACTTTTTCCGTACTTGACATCTTCAGTAGAAATGGTAGAAAATACTGCATTTTGAAATTCACAGAATTCAATCATGCCAACATAATCTTAATTCAATTCATATATTTTTGGTTTATAATGCTTAATGGCAATGTATTACTGGAATAAGAGAAAATATGTAGGCAGCTTTTATATTCAACGCACCTAGACCTGAAGTTGACAAACCCAAGACTATCTAGCGTAATGAAATTACAATGTACATACAACTTTCGTAATAATTTAAATGGTATGTAACCATTTTGAAGGAATGCATAAAATCGTAAGAAATCTTTAGTTGCCGCTATCGTGTAATATCTTGATGAATGTGTTGAAGCTCAAAAGATGTATGTGTTGTAGATCGTTTGCTGTGTGTACATTTTTGTGATATCTATATTGAAATGATGTGCATTCCTTTTAACAAATATTTGTTACCTATTCATATTCTTGGTGTTTGATTACAATTTTTCTATTAAATATGATCTTTTTAAAGTAAAAGTACAATTTCTGATAAATATTTAATCTGAAAGTAACCCCAAACAGTCATTTAATTATTAAATCCCGTGTAATTGCAAAAAGGTCAAGAATATGAGTATCGGTAAATAGCCTACTCTTTCATTAGTTCAGAGGGAAAGGTATATATTTTAATCACTTTTTGTAATCATTTGGTTATGTTCTTCATCATATTGAAGATTGAAAACATTGTGACAAAGACTTCTGAAAAATATTTACAAATATAGGGTTGAAAATTGACTAAAAATATAGAGTTCATTTGCCTATTGTGTACTTATCTTTTATGTCAATTGAATAAAAAAGAAATTATTCTTGAGCTTGAGAATTATTGCTTAATATTGTTCTGTTAATAAAGTCTATAAACTACGATGTTTGAAGAAGTATTTTTGTGTTTTTTCGTACTCCCTTTATCGAAGAGTACCCCTAAAAATATTTGAAAATGTGAAGTCGCAGTATGTAAATACCATACCAAGTTTCACAGCCTGTTCTAGATTAAAAAACAAGGAACTATATTAGTGATATTATTAACTGATTGATAAGCAAGTACTAATTTATCATTTTGAAAAGTTTGAAAATCTTGTGACAAAGACTTTTCCGACATAGGTTCTACCTTAATTCTTGTTTTACTCCACCCTTTTACTCAGTTCTGAGTATATTTTTCAGAGAATTTAAAATGAAAATCAGAACAAACATTTTCATTGTTGTAACGTCTTCTTTATAATGTATCATAATATGAAAAGTTAATTGAATACCATTTTCTTTTATGTCCCCGTAATGGAAGATTCGGGGGTATGTCAGTTTTATCGTGTTCGTCTGTATGTCCATCTGTCTATCTGGCGGTTTGTTTGTCCCGCAAAAACCTTAACCTTGACCATAACTTTTCATTTATTGGAGCTATGATTTTCATATTTAATATGTGTATTCCTTGTGACAAGACATTACTTTGGGTACCACCAAATTTGACCTTTACCTTGGAGTTTGTCCCATTTTACACAAAAATGCCAAATTTTACTTTGGCCATAACTTTTAAGCGGTAGATACTAGTACTCTCATACTTCAGATATGTAGTTTTTTGGCATTACCTTTCATTGGATACTAAAAACTTTGACCTTTTGACCTTGATCTTGGAGATTTCTGTACTTATGATATTTTTTTTCCTTGGCCATAACTTTTGAACGGTAAGGGCTAGGGTATTCATACTTCACATATGAAATCCTTGTTACATTAAACATTTTCTTAAGAAATCATCATCTTTGACCTTTGATTTTGACCTACCTTTCAAAAATTTATCCTTAGCCATTACTTTTGAACAAGTGGTGCTAGGGCTCTTCCTATTTTGCCGTTGTATTTCTTGTGAGAAGACCCTACTTTGGGTAACAATATATTTAAATTGCATTTA